AAACAGAGATGCGTGAAAATGTATGGTAGCACAACTCGCTTTCGTTACAATATTTTTTGTGGCTTCTAACCGCACTTAAGAAATCACAAAATAGAGACTGGGAAATGGCCGAAAATCATGCATAATTTATGAGCTAAAACCGCTGTTATGTTTAGAAACCTGTTGGTCCGCCATGAAGTATTGATACCCATACGAAAATAAAGAAATGGAAATGGAAATGTTTACTGAGCGAGTCGCCAGATTGATTTTGGTGGCTTTGGCAGCGATATCACCTTTAAATCCATCGATCCACTTTTCATCTCTCTCTCTCTATCTTTTTAATAAATGGCTCTTTGGTGCATTTAGTTTGATTAAAAAATTGCCGCAATACCAAAAACATTCTTCATTTACAACCAGTTCTGTGTAATGAGTTCGCGTTGATTTTATTTTTTAATTTTCCTGCAGTTGTTTTGCACGCTGCTGTCCAAAATTTGAACAATGCGCATAATTTTTCACATATGGCAAGTTGATTGATTGGTGAAAGATTTCCGCTTTCATAAACAACAACTTTTACTAATCTCTTCTCGCATGAGCGTGCAAAATGCAATCGTGGGTTGCTAGAGGGGCTGTTGGGAGTATATATACATATATACCTATGTACTTAGCTATATAGCCAAATATTTATGACTGCGTGCTTGTGGGGGCGTGCAGGAAAGAAGAAAAAGTGAAAAAAGTGGAAAAAAAGAAAGCAATTGCAACAAATTGCACCGAATAATTGAATGCAAGCAATAAAAGTGAAAAATCGCCAATGCCAGCAAACACTTTCGTTGCCAAAAACGCTCCTATAGCCGATCGCCAATCGCCAATCGCCAATCGCCAATCCCCGCCAGCTGTCACCGTGCAATATGGGAGCATAAATCATCTGCCACGCCCCCTGCCCGCACTGAAACGGGATGGGCGTCAATGCGAGCAAGTGGCAGCCGAACGGCAACTGGTTGCTGGTCGTCGAGTTGGCCAAAAAGGCGCCCAGCAACTTTCACATGCCATTGACATGGCCAGCAAAAATGAAAAATATACGCGTGGCGGGCAGCGAGTTGCAAGTTGCGAGTTGCACGGTGCAAGTCAATTAACAAATTGCAGCCTCTCTCAACTCTGCACGGTGAAAAATAATTGTAATCGCCGCAAAAGTCCACTTTCGAAACTAATTTGTAATCTTAAGTCGCCTCTCAGCCGAATTTTATATCTATTACTTCTACATTTAATTAATAACATGTGTACTTGAAGTAAATATAATTTATTGAGTCGTTTCAAAGGAATTCATGATTTTACCAACGAATTCTGACATGTACATATATATATTTTTTTTTTCCATTTTTTTTATCAGTGTTGCAGCTAAAATATATGCACATGCCATCTTGCAATTGCGTTTGAAAGTAATTTCTGTGTAAAACATTGCTGCTCATCTTTTTTGCAAATTGATTAATCAGGTATTAAAAAGCGCAGCGATAACATTAATTAAACACTCATCCCGACCAAAAACTCCCCGATGACCCAATGGTAGCATCGATTTTGTAATTGTGCGCCCATAATTAGTTGTTTAACTTATGATGGCTTGGATATAAGTGATATGTGGATCAGCAAAAACAATAACCCATTTTTCGCCCTCTCCCTCCTGCAGTCACAATCCAAGGCCTCCACCTTGTCGTCGGGCGCCCGAGCCGCCGCCCAGACCTTGAATGTGCCGCTGGAGCGCCTGGAATCCCGCCAGGCGCACGCCCAGCGCAACGAGCACGGCGTGGATGGGGGATTGCGGCAGAATGAGCAGCTGCAGCAGTCGGAACTGCATCACCACGTGCAGCAGCAGCAGCAGCAGCACCATCAGCAGCAGCAGCTGGAGGACGCTTTGGAGGATCACCAGCTGGCAGCAGATCACCAGCAGCAGCAGCAGCAGCAGCAGCAGGGTCAGCAGCAGCGATTCCTCAAACAGCAGAGCTATCTGCACTCCGCCCGCAAGTCGAATGCTGGCCAACAGCCGTCCTCGCTGACCAACGGACAGGTGCATCACCAGGAGCAGATGCTGCAGCAGCAGCAGCAGCAGCAGCAGTCGCAGTCCTTGCCGCACCACGACCTGGACGCCAATTATCTGCAGGATGAGAGCAATGGTGGCACTCCGCCCTCGGTGACCAAGTACTCGCTGCTCCAGTTCGCCATGCAGCACTTCCGCAACGAGTGAGTGTCCACTTGAAGTGGGTTATGCGTTGTGTTGCCCAACTAATGGGTATATCTATTCACCTTGCAGCCAACTGAGGGACGCCGACCGCCACCACGAGCGGCACCAGTCCGCCGCGAACCGCTCCTACGCGGAACTGGTCAAGTGGCAGGGCCACGCCATACGCCTGCCGCTCCTCCGACTTCCGAACGACCTGGCGCCACTGGCGCTCGAGTGCTTCGACTGCATCCTGCGCTACTGCGGCGACATACCGCTGGATCCCGACCTCACCGAGGTCAAGTGCGTCTACACCGTGCTGATGGTGAGTGCTGCTGCCGACTTTATGGTTCAGGGTTCTGAGTTCTGGACTCTGGATTCTGGGTTAGCCAAACCGGTTGGCCACGCCGGCTTTGAGGTGCTCCCACAAATATGTGCAACTGGTTTCGGGCCGTTCTGCTGCCCTAGAAATGTTTGACTCAAGCACCCGAACCGGAAATGGTTTGTATGTGGACACCTCAAAGTCGGAAAGTCGCTGGCGGAATGTGGAGCATAGGAGTACTTAGATTACCTTCAGATATGGGCTACACTTGTAAATAGGAAATAAAGGATGTGCCACATTGTAAAAGGAGCTTTGAGCTTTGGGACAAGTTCCAGTTTTGCAAAACTTGGTTTGAGTGGCAAACAGGAAGAGTTGTTATGTAAAAACAGCCAACGGAAGTTGGAAGCTTCCGTGCATAACAAATTTCATTTGATTTATGGTTTGGTTATGGCCTCCAATTACTCACTTCTTTCAAATATTTCCATCTTGCCCACAGCATTGCCACAAGTACTTGGCCCTGCGCGACGAGGTCTACTGCCAGCTGATGAAGCAGACGACGGCCAACCGGTCACCATGTCCGGATAGCTCGCAGCGCGCCTGGCGCCTGCTCAGCATCCTGGCGGCATACTTTGGCTGCTCGGACGCACTGCGTCCCTACCTGATGGAGCACCTGACGTCGGCGGCCTCCGATCGCCGCCGTTCCTGTCACGGCACCGCGGCCGTTTGTCTGACCAATCTCCGGAAGACGGCGCGATGCGGCGGCCGAAAGAATGTGCCCAGTGTGGAGGAGGTGACCGCCGTGTCGGCGGGACGTTCGGCCAGGCGGCAGATATACCGCCTGCCCGGCGGAGCGGAGCGCGTGGTGAACACCCGTTGCTCCACCGTGGTGGCTGATGTCATTGCCGAGCTGTGCGCCCTGCTGGGCGTGGAATCCGAGGCGGAGCAGCAGGAGTTCTCGCTGTACTGCATCGTCCAGGGAGATGCGTTCACCATGCCGCTGGCCGCCGATGAGTACATTCTCGACGTGACCACGGAGCTTCTCAAGTCCGGACAGCCCTTCTACCTGATCTTCTGCCGATCTGTTTGGCACTTCGCCTTGAAGCGAGAGCCGGCACCCATGCCGCTCTACGTGGAGGTGCTCTTCAATCAGGTGGCACCAGACTACCTGGAGGGTCTGCTGCTGGAGCTGCCCGGCAATGGGGTGCCCGTGCCGGAGATGGTCAGGGATATGGCGAGAATCGCTGCCCTGCTTCATCGGGCTGCCGATCTGAGTCACGTGCCCGCCATGAAGGAGATCAAATTCCTGCTGCCCAAGCCGGCGCTTGGCATCCGTGAGATCCGGCCCGCCCAGTGGGTGGGCCTCGTTCAGTCGGCGTGGCCGCAGGTGGCCAACCTGAGTCCCGGCCAGGTGAAGGCGCAGTTCCTCAATGTGCTGGCCACCTGGCCGCTCTTCGGCAGCAGCTTCTTTGCGGTGAAGCGCATCTGGGCGGAGGAGGGTCCGCACGTGGAGGATAACCATAGTCCCATGTGGCGGGATCTCATCCTGGCGCTCAACCGACGTGGCGTCCTCTTCCTGGATCCCAATACCCACGAGACCCTGCAGCACTGGAGCTTCATGGAGGTCATTTCCACGCGCAAGGTAAGCCCTTCAGATTAAAGATCCCAGCCTGGAAACTGTGTTGCTCACCGAAGCTATTTAATTGCAGGTTCGCTCGGAGGACGGTGCCCTCTTCCTGGACATGAAGGTGGGCAATCTGATGCAGCAGCGCGTGATCCGCGTCCAAACGGAGCAGGCCCACGAGATCTCGCGCCTGGTGCGCCAGTACATCACCATGGCCCAGATCAGTCAGCGCGACAAGCGGGAGCTCAACTAGGCAACCAGGATTGCCTAGCTCTTACCCATTATTATTATTATTACTATTATTATTCGTATCGATATTGTATTGAGTTATTCTCTCCCCATATTTCCACATATTTTTTTGTCGATTCGTAAGTTCCCTACCAGTTACATATATTTATTGACGCCCATATGCAGAGACATATGTTTGTTTAGATGCTTATGTTGTGCTGGTTTCCACACCCCGATGTCCGATACCCAAGCCCATCCCCGTACTCCCCCAACTCGGTGGCGCTAAGATGGCCATATAGACCCACTCCAAGCCCGAACCCGAACTCGTAGTTCCCATTGTCGTTAGTTTAAGCGAACCAAGTGCAATCCGAGTGCAGGCTCTGAGTCCAATCCTCTGGTCCCCATCCATATTTCGATGCAACGACTTCTTGTAGCACTTAAGATTAGCAAACTTTAATATCATTTTTTTTTGACATTTGTTAAATCGAAAATTGCCTAGCTTAATCCGTAAAACTATCATAAATAAATACAATTTATATATGTATATCTATCGCAATGGATGGGTTTTTTACTATAATTGAGTGCTTCACTTATGCGTAAATAATAAATATTAAAAAAAAACAACACTTAGAGATGCTGGATGGAGATGCTAAAATCCAGAAACGGAGGAGGGATTACTTGTCACTTGTCCGGCCCTAAACTATATAATATTTGGTATGAGTTGATCGCTGTCGTCCTCCTCATCGTCCTCGTCCTCATCCTCCTCCTCGTCGTACTCGCCATCCTCATCCTCCTCGTCGTCCTCGTCGTCTTCGTCCTCCTCCTCGTCCGCCACATTTGGCGAATCCTTGTGGCTGGTCACGGATGTTGCTGCTGTTGCAGCCGTTGGTGTTGGCGCCAAAGTCGCCATTGTTTGCTCCTGGCCAGCGCCGATGGGCGGCGGGGGGCGTGGCTGAGGTGCAGTCGCTGCCGCCACACTTGTTGCATCACCCTTTACGGCTTTTTCGCCGGATGTGGGCGGAATCGGGGTGGCACGCCGCGTTGTAACGGCGCTTAACGCTTCATTAGTCGCATTGTGGCTGACAGTTCCAGTTGCCACCACCATTGTCGTCCTCGTGGCGTTGCTGTTGCTGTTGCCGTTGCCGGCTACTGGATTCATGGGTCCTGCTCCAGCTCCTGCGGTTGCGGTGTCGTTTTTCCGGCGCTCCGGCTCGTTACCCGCCACCAACTTTTCCCCACCCAACTTTTCATCGGGCACACCTGTACCCACATCCTGCTCCCCGAGCTGGTCCAGTGCGCCATCAAGCTCCAGGTCGAGTTTGGCGGGTGTGGGCGGTGTGATTCGCGGTGGCGCCTCCGAGGTCAGCAGAAAGTCATCGCGTATCTCGCAGTTCTTGCCCAGAAATCCCTGCCGGCACTGGCACTGGTAGCTGCCATCCTCGCGGCTCAGCGATGTGCACTTGCCCCCGTTTTCGCACGTGTCCGGATGCTCCACGCAGTAGGTGAGCTCTGTGGGTCAGCTCGGTCAATTTCCCGTGGGCATGGTCCATGTACGGATATACTCACTCTCGTCGCACAGCATTCCGCCCCAGCCGGGATGGCAGTTGCACTCCCACGGCGCCTCGCAGTCCCCATTGGCACATCCCGGATACGGGAAGCACTTGTCGCACTGGCTGCCCGTCCAGCCCACCTTGCAGCTGGAGCAGAAGGGGTGTTCATGAAAAATGATGGCAGATGCGGGTTAGACTTGCTATTGAGCCAGCAAAAAGCTGGGGAGCTATAAAAATAGCTAACTAATTGCTTAGTCCAAAAGAGGCATATATTCCTCTATTTCAGTAGTGAGCTGCTGCTCCTACTTACCGGCACTCGCCAGGCTTGCGGCAATATCCGTGCTGCTTGCTGCAGTCCGGGTCGCAGATTGCTGGAATGGCACGGATTAGTTGGGATCCTTCGGTGCTCGCAGGACTTACGCGTCTGGCAGAGTAGTCCGGTGTAGCCGGGCAGGCAGAGGCACTCCAGCGGCTTGTTGCAGGTGCCATGCTGGCAGCCCGGCATCGTGGCGCACTCGGAGCAGGTGCGTCCGGCGTAGCCAATCCGGCAGCGGCACTCCCCAGGGGCTTCGCAATATCCGCGGGTGCTGTGGCATCCGCTACGGCAACTTGCTTTGGTTGGGATCGGATTGGAATGCAGAAAAGGGACAATTCAGTTAGCGCAATGCTTCATCCTATTGCAAATGCTACCCAGCACTTACAACCCCCAAAACGATATTAGTTCCCTAAGGTTGGCTGAATGGGAATGGCTTTTTGTATGGATAAAGTTTTTATTTTGTTTTAAAGTTTAGCATAGTAATGGTTCAGAGTCAAAGGTAACTGGAGTCGGCCACTACTTACGTTCAGTGCAGAAGAGTCCCGCCCAGCCGGGCTTGCAAATGCACTCGAAGGGCTTGGTGCATCCGCCATGCTGGCAACCTGGCAGCGGGATGCACTTGTCGCAGAGTTCGCCGCTGTAGCCGATGCGGCACCTGCATTCCCCGGGTCGCTGGCAGTAACCTGTGCGAAAGTGGGTTCAGGGCCACGGGATAGGGAATCAGCTGAAGACTAAAAACATACCGTTCATGGGGTCACAGGACCTGCGACACATGGGCACCTGGCACAGATCACCCTGCCAGCCAGGAAGACACTTAAAGTCGCCCTTTTCATCGCAAATGTAGTGTGCGTTTTGCCGCTGCTTCTGCGATTTCTCACAGGCCTTAGGATTTGGGAATTTTTGGGCTTAGTTCCATTAAATTATGAACACACTTACTCGCTGTTTCCACAGTGGAATATTGGAGTTGCTGCTTTGTCGCGCATCGAAATTGCGCCTATAGGCAGTGATTTCCACCAATTCGAGGGCGGTGATCGCGGTCACCAGCAGAAGAGCCGCCCTTTTGTCTGGCAACATATCTAAATCCGATTTGATATAAAATTATAATAATTTATTGTAAAAAAAACTTGGTGGTTTATTTCCTAAGCTTTTTAGACCTTAAACCAACTTAATTTGTTGCACTTTAAGCGCGAATGAAGAAAACCTAGGCGGGCCTCGTTGGATTATCGGCTAAAACGAAAAGTGTTTTCGTTTGGCCAAACTTGGACCGTTAAAAGAAATCGACGACCCACGGCCCCTTGTCGCAATTAACATGTTCGAAGGCAACTTTCTTCGCGGCCAAGCCGAGAAGAACGGGAATCCCGCCGTCGACAGAGAATTGAGAATGGAGCAGCGACCACTAAACAACCGATTTCGTGATGAATCACCAGAGGCCAGAAGAAATGAAATGGATAGAATGCAGATCGAGAATTACTCTTGGCGGATTAGACTGCAGCTTCGTGTCGGCGGTCCGTCGCGGTCTGCAATCGCTTTGGGACTAATCAAGTAGCCGATTCTCGACTCTTTCTTCCAGGCAAGTCTTCGCTCTTCTCTCTTCGCTCTTCTCTCTTCCCTCTGTCGTTCTTCTGGCCTTCACCGTGAACTCAAGCTTCGAAGCCGAGAGGCAGCGCCAGAGAAAGAGCGCAGAAAGCACCTGACCGTAGGTGGTAATTGGGTCAACCGGTAAACCAAAACAGCTGAGTACTCCGGCACAGTGGTTTCAGATATAGATTTTATGGACCATCGTACTTTGGAAAATTTCGGTTATATAAAAAGGAACAAAGCTGGTTTCACGAAATGAGCGAATAAAAAGAAACTGAAATTTGTAGTAACACATATTTCAAATAGATAAAGGGATTAAAAGAAAATAGAATATATGTATATATGGTATATTAAGTACTGTATTATTTTGGTATTTATTTTATATGCCCAATTACTTTCGACCCACTGTGCAGCACTCACGAAAGAGTCACCAAACCAGTTGTAGGTGAAGCAGGATGGTTCAAGACTCCAGATTGGGAAATGTCTAAAGGCAAGGTTTGTTTTTTTAAATTATACTCGTTCTTTATTGAATGATCTCTTTATTGGTTTAATTATAATTATAATAATTACTTAGACATTCGTGTGTACCTAAAATCCAGATTAATGCTAAGATCCAAACGTTAATTCCGACTCCAGAGGGTTGTCTGCCAGTTGGGTAACCGAATACTGTGGGCCTCAATCACTCGCTTTTGGCCAGTGTTCCATATATGTATGTGAAGAATGTGTGTATGTGGCTATATGCTTGCGAGTCGGGGGAACTAACGATTAGACAGATACACTCGTGCACATCCACATATATATAGGTTCTTTCATTACGCAGCCTGACTCCATATTCACTGTAGATGCTATGCGGTATTTGATGACTTAGTCCCTAGTTTCTAGTATTATCCGATCCGAGATTCGAGCGATTCTGCGAGGACTCGCAGATCCCCAGCACATATATTGAGTTGTTGTTTGGGTCCTAAGCCCAAATGCTTACACGCGAGGGTTTCCTAAACTAATTAGAGGAAGTCCACAGCAGCCGTGATGTCCATATGGTCATATGATGAATATCATGTGTGTGGGCGATCATGTGTCTTACATTTTAAAGTTGTTAAATATGAAAGTTTGTTAAATATGGTGCATTTAGGCAGTCCGCATGTATGGTCTTATGTTTTCTGGAACCCACAACTATGCACTGCAATCCAAATGCCAGAACCCCTCAGAACTTCAGAAATGTCTGATATTCCTTCATAGACTCCCTATATTTCACTGGCAGTGTGTCCTTATTTTGCGGATCTCTCCTCTAGCGAGACACAAAAAAAAAAACCTCACCTCACCACACATACATATGCTATGATCTTCTAAATCCACTGGCTTAATGTTTAAACGCTTACATACGATGGGGTACTCTATTTATTTTGGGCCGGAAGTGAGGGGGCGTGGCAGGGGCGCGGGTGATATGATGTGATATGATGAGTGGGGGAGACCGTACACCATAAACTACACGGAGAAAAAAAATGATCACCGCTGATCACCGCTGATCACCGTTGGCTGGGCGGCGTGACCATGTCGCCTTAGACGAAGATGAACTGGGCGTGGCCGCACTTCTTGGGCGGACCGACGGTCAGGCGGAGCCACTTGCCGCGGCACGACGGCGCAGGCAGCGCGCTCCAGCGTGTCGTGCGCCCGGCCAGCCCCTCCCCCCGGCAGTGGTAGGTGGGCGCCAGCGTGGGCGAGGGCGTGGCCGGCACGGCGCTGCGCTTTCCCGCTGTCCGGCGGCTGTGGGACATTTGGGACATCTGTGAGTGCCGCTGGTGACGGTAGTCGGCACTCTCGTTGCTGTCCGAGTCCAGGGCATTCTGCAGCTCGTCCTGCTCATCCTGCTCCGGCTCCGGTTCCTGCTCCTCTTCCTCGTCCTCCGCCTCCGCCTCCGCCTCGCCATCCTGGCTGGTCGCCTCCTCGTCGCTGCTGTTCTCCCGCTGCTGGCGCTCCTCCTCAAGCTCATCCGTCCGCTGCCCAAAGGCGGAAGCTGCGGCTGAAACTGTGGTCGTGGGCGGCGTGGTGGGGCCCTGGGGTGTCCTGGCTGTGGTGGAGCTGCCGGCTGAGTCCTGGATCCATGCCTCAAGGTCACAGCGCACAGTGATGCGATCGCCTGCGAAATCAAGCAGAGGCAAGACAAAATATAATTTTAAATATTCAATTTTTAGTTAATTCCAGCTGACATTTTAAAAATTAGGTAATAAACTTTGGTAATTCTTAGATTTTTCTTACCTTCTGTCATCAGATTATACGGCGGCAGCTTGTGGCAGGCTTTAGAGGATTTGATTACCTCGAACTCCACGCAATATCTGTAAAGAAAGCAAATTATTAATATTAATAATGCAAGGTAAGGATGGGAATATCTTAATAGGTTGTGAAACATTTAAGGGACCTGAAACAGATTTTAAACTCTTCTCGCAAGACGTTGTTGTTCTGCATTTCATTGTCACAGACTAAATATTCCTCAATTAATTATCCGTCCTCATAATTTCCATCGCTCGCTCAGTTGGGCATTCAGTCGCTCATTGAGCGATTCACTCGGCCGTTTGGTCCTTCATTGATTATGCATGTCCTTCGGCGACGCCTCATTAGAGGGTCAAAGGATCTGGCTGGCCATTGGGATGTTAAATATTATAATTATTGGGATTCAGATTCCATCAACGGACGCCAAGCAGACAGACGCAGACGCAGTAGCAGAAGCACTGATTTGTGCAATTGTGCGGACTGAAGCAGCGGCTGAATACACAGGACTTCAAAGGCACAGGAAATGCGAATTGTCTATTAAGCCTAACAATTTCCGTTTCCGCTAGGCAAAAAAGAGCAAAAACAAACATGGCAAACGGAAAATCGAACTGACAAGTGCCTTTGAGTGTGTGGGGGTGTCCGTGTGTGCGTGTGTAAGAGTGTCGAAAGTGTCTGTGTGTGCGTCTGACAGCTGTCAAGGTGTTGACAACGGAAATTGCGTAGGAAATTTCAAAAGTTCCTGACGTTTTGGGGCATTTTTGATTTTACCCACTACCAACCACCCACCGGAAAGCCGGGCCACTTAACCCCAAAGCAAAAGAGGGGGAAACTCGGGGGGTGCATACTCGTATAGCCATATTAGCTTTATACGCTGGCTGCTGCCGCTCCAACGATGAAGGAGGATTAGCCAGGATGCAGCGGAAATGGAAATTGGCGTCGCACTCAGGCCGCAGAAAACAAGACTCCCCCAAATGCCGCGTCATAAATACAAAGAATTTGTATTAAAATGGGAGCCGCCATTGGAGATTTTGTGAGGCGCAGGGGAAACAGCTGAAAGCTTAATTAAGTCCCGGCACAAACCGAACCGAAGGACCCTCTGCGGCCGGGTAATAAAGGTAAATTGAAAAAATTAATGTAAATAAACAGGCGCCGACGCCGCGCCGAGTAATAAAAATAAACAAGGCAATGCACAAAACTCGAGCACCGAAACATAATTAAAGACAAGCAATGTTTGGGGCCGGGGTATTTGTCTGGCCAGCAAACGGGGGCTAAATCAGCAGAAGGACGTGGTCCTTCAGCCACGGCAATCATAAAATAAAAAGAAATTGTTATGCTTGGCTTGCGGTGAGCGAAGGAATTGCCTCTTGTTATAGGCCAGTTCCTAGAAGGCGGTCTTAGCTAAAAAATGTGCACAAAAATTCCACTGATTTATCAAATATCGTGAGGAGTTGTCCGCGATAAACGGATAATGAAAGGATCAAATGCAAAACGAACCGCAGAGCTCCGAAATTTTAATTTATTAACTGATTACCCTTTTGAAATGAACACAAATCAAAAAATGGAAGAGTGCAGAGCACAGTAATTAAATGAAAAATAATAAAAAAACTATTTTTATCATTTTAAGGTCGCACATCAAAGAAAATATTTGATAAATGGATTTAATGGTTTTAATGGAGCAAAATAAATGCAAAGGGTAATAAAATGCCCCCATTTTTGGCATATGTACACCCCGTAAAAATATCCGATTTTTGACAAAATTTAATTTATGTGTTTTTTAGCAATTAAAATAGTTGTCCAAAACTAGAATGTCATACCCTCATTAAATTCGTAACAAAATTTCCTATCGACCTGTATTCAAAAATGGAAATTCTAATTTTTTGCCATTTTTCGCAAATTTTGATGGGGGTACCCCTTATAAAAAATGTGAAAAATTGTTAAAATTTTATTTCCCGAAAATCATAAAAGTAGTGATAGGCATAGTTAGCTGGGTTTATTAGCAGCACAAAACAGTCTTCATTTTAGCTGTGCCTTCTTTTTTGGCTAAGTTATGGCGAAAACCCCGATTGAAAATATCCGATTTCTGACAACAAATTTTATTTTCGATTTTTTTTGATAAAAATAATCAGTTTTTTTGCGATAGCAATAAAAATAGTTGTCCAAACCTAGAATGTCATACCCCGTTGAATTCGTAACAAAATTTCCTATCGACCTGTATTCAAAATTAAAAATTCTAATTTTTTGCCATTTTTCGCAAATTTTGATGGGGGTACCCCTTATAAAAAATGTGAAAAATTGTTAAAATTTTATTTCCCGAAAATCATAAAAGTAGTGATAGGCATAGTTAGCTGGGTTTATTAGCAGCACAAAACAGTCTTCATTTTAGCTGTGCCTTCTTTTTTGGCTAAGTTATGGCGAAAACCCCGATTGAAAATATCCGATTTCTGACAAAAAATTTTTTTTTCGATTTTTTTTGATAAAAATAATCAGTTTTTTTGCGATAGCAATAAAAATAGTTGTTCAAACCTAGAATGTCATACCCCGTTGAATTCGTAACAAAATTTCCTATCGACCTGTATTCAAAATTAAAAATTCTAATTTTTTGCCATTTTTCGCAAATTTTGATGGGGGTACCCCTTATAAAAAATGTGAAAAATTGTTAAAATTTTATTTCCCGAAAATCATAAAAGTAGTGATAGGCATAGTTAGCTGGGTTTATTAGCAGCACAAAACAGTCTTCATTTTAGCTGTGCCTTCTTTTTTGGCTAAGTTATGGCGAAAACCCCGATTGAAAATATCCGATTTCTGACAACAAATTTTTTTTTCGATTTTTTTGGATAAAAATAATCAGTTTTTTTGCGATAGCAATAAAAATAGTTGTCCAAACCTAGAATGTCATACCCCGTTGAATTCGTAACAAAATTTCCTATCGACCTGTATTCAAAAATGGAAATTCTAATTTTTTGCCATTTTTCGCAAATTTTGATGGGGGTACCCCTTATAAAAAATGTGAAAAATTGTTAAAATTTTATTTCCCGAAAATCATAAAAGTAGTGATAGGCATAGTTAGCTGGGTTTATTAGCAGCACAAAACAGTCTTCATTTTAGCTGTGCCTTCTTTTTTGGCTAAGTTATGGCGAAAACCCCGATTGAAAATATCCGATTTCTGACAACAAATTTTTTTTTCGATTTTTTTTGATAAAAATAGTCAGTTTTTTTGCGATAGCAATAAAAATAGTTGTCCAAACCTAGAATGTCATACCCCGTTGAATTCGTAACAAAATTTCCTATCGACCTGTATTCAAAAATGGAAATTCTAATTTTTTGCCATTTTTCGCAAATTTTGATGGGGGTACCCCTTATAAAAAATGTGAAAAATTGTTAAAATTTTATTTCCCGAAAATCATAAAAGTAGTGATAGGCATAGTTAGCTGGGTTTATTAGCAGCACAAAACAGTCTTCATTTTAGCTGTGCCTTCTTTTTTGGCTAAGTTATGGCGAAAACCCCGATTGAAAATATCCGATTTCTAACAACAAATTTTTTTTTCGATTTTTTTGATAAAAATAATCAGTTTTTTTGCGATAGCAATACAAATAGTTGTCCAAACCTAGAATGTCATACCCCGTTGAATTCGTAACAAAATTTCCTATCGACCTGTATTCAAAATTAAAAATTCTAATTTTTTGCCATTTTTCGCAAATTTTGATGGGGGTACCCCTTATAAAAAATGTGAAAAATTGTTAAAATTTGATTTCCCGAAAATCATAAAAGTAGTGATAGGCATAGTTAGCTGGGTTTATTAGCAGCACAAAACAGTCTTCATTTTAGCTGTGCCTTCTTTTTTGGCTAAGTTATGGCGAAAACCCCGATTGAAAATATCCGATTTCTGACAACAAATTTTTTTTTCGATTTTTTTTGATAAAAATAATCAGTTTTTTTGCGATAGCAATAAAAATAGTTGTTCAAACCTAGAATGTCATACCCCGTTGAATTCGTAACAAAATTTCCTATCGACCTGTATTCAAAATTAAAAATTCTAATTTTTTGCCATTTTTCGCAAATTTTGATGGGGGTACCCCTTATAAAAAATGTGAAAAATTGTTAAAATTTTATTTCCCGAAAATCATAAAAGTAGTGATAGGCATAGTTAGCTGGGTTTATTAGCAGCACAAAACAGTCTTCATTTTAGCTGTGCCTTCTTTTTTGGCTAAGTTATGGCGAAAACCCCGATTGAAAATATCCGATTTCTGACAACAAATTTTTTTTTCGATTTTTTTTGATAAAAATAATCAGTTTTTTTGCGATAGCAATAAAAATAGTTGTCCAAACCTAGAATGTCATACCCCGTTGAATTCGTAACAAAATTTCCTATCGACCTGTATTCAAAATTAAAAATTCTAATTTTTTGCCATTTTTCGCAAATTTTGATGGGGGTACCCCTTATAAAAAATGTGAAAAATTGTTAAAATTTTATTTCCCGAAAATCATAAAAGTAGTGATAGGCATAGTTAGCTGGGTTTATTAGCAGCACAAAACAGTCTTCATTTTAGCTGTGCCTTCTTTTTTGGCTAAGTTATGGCGAAAACCCCGATTGAAAATATCCGATTTCTGACAACAAATTTTTTTTTTCGATTTTTTTTGATAAAAATAGTCAGTTTTTTTGCGATAGCAATAAAAATAGTTGTCCAAACCTAGAATGTCATACCCCGTTGAATTCGTAACAAAATTTCCTATCGACCTGTATTCAAAAATGGAAATTCTAATTTTTTGCCATTTTTCGCAAATTTTGATGGGGGTACCCCTTATAAAAAATGTGAAAAATTGTTAAAATTTGATTTCCCGAAAATCATAAAAGTAGTGATAGGCATAGTTAGCTGGGTTTATTAGCAGCACAAAACAGTCTTCATTTTAGCTGTGCCTTCTTTTTTGGCTAAGTTATGGCGAAAACCCCGATTGAAAATATCCGATTTCTGACAACAAATTTTTTTTTTCGATTTTTTTTGATAAAAATAATCAGTTTTTTTGCGATAGCAATAAAAATAGTTGTCCAAACCTAGAATGTCATAC